TTTTGGGTCCGGTTGTGGGGCCTGAACTCTGGGCCTGGGCGCTGTCCCTCAGCTCTTCAGCTCAAGGCTAGCACTCTACCACTTGAGCTACAGCACCACTTCTGGCTTTTTTCTTATGTGGTGCTGAGGAATCGAACCCAGGCCCTCAGGCATGCAAGGCAAGCGCTCTACCACTGAGCCACCTTCCCAGCCCATGAGTACATATCTTATCAAGCATTGTAGCCTCCTCCTTTGTATCCCCTTCCAATCCCTTTCCATCCTCTCCCCCAAATCCTCCCCCACCCCACCAAATTTGTAAAGTTCGTTTTCGACATAACGACTTGTACATCTCATTGTTGCAATGTGTCCACCTGTATCCCTATTTAAACGATTTGTTTTTCCCTTTCCCCTCCACAAATTATATCAGCATCAAATACAGTGAAAGCAGGAGTTATACCATGGGGGAGGGACATACAAAACAACAATAAAGAAATAATCTTATAAATGTGTTAGAAACAATCGCATGAAAGAAAAAAGCATTTGAATACATATCTTAGGGTTCATTTCTCTAACATCAACTTATCTGACCTTTTCTGCTTGACTCAGACATCTACTAGTTATTACAAATAAGGGAAGCCATGGGACCTATGTTTCTTTGGGCCTGGCTTATTTCACGTAATATAATTTTTTCCAAGTCTTTCTATTTCCTAACAAATAGGGCAATGTCATTCTTTCTGATGAAGGCATAGAATTTCATTGTGTGTTATACAGTTCTTTTGCCTTTTATTTATAGAGACATTGTGACTTTATACCTTTTTTTTTCAAGCAGCTTTTTGTTTGTTTGTTTATGTGTGTGTGGGGGGGGGAGGGTTTACTGGTTGTGGGGCCTGAACTCTGGGCCTGGGCACTGTCCCTCAGCTCTTCAGCTCAAGGCTAATGCTCTACCAGTTAAGCCACAGCGCCACTTCCAGCTTTTTCTGCTTATGTGGTGCTGAGGAATCGAACCCAGGGCTTCATGCATGCAAAGCAAGCACTCTTATCACTGAGCCATCTTCCAGCCCCATTGTTTGTGTGTGTATGTGTGTATGTATGTAAATCTCTCACTTGTGCAAGATGAAAGAAATTCAGTACTAGCTCAGAAAGCTAATCTTTTTGACTTTATTTAGGTGGTGTCTCAGCGAATCAGTACAGTGGATCTCTCATGTTACAGCCTTGAGGAGGTTCCTGAACATCTCTTCTACAGTCAAGATATCACCTACCTCAACTTGCGACACAACTTCATGCAATTAGAAAGACCAGGGGGTCTCGACACACTCTATAAGTATGTTTTAAGATCAATATGTTAAAAACAAGTTGTAATCAGTTTCTTAGTGGTTCATATCTTATGAACTTTAATGATTACACATAGTGTATTTGTCTATTTTCCATTTTTCTAACAACATACTGGAGGCTGAATAATCTATAGGGAAAAGAGGTTTAAGTCCAATATCTGACAGCCCCATCATTTCAGCCTTGCTTAGGCTTCTTCACCTAAATTATTTCATGGTAGAGGGAGAGATGGAATACAAGATGGGAAGTCACAGCTTCAGGGTTAGGCTTGTTGGTTTAAAACAACCCGTTTTTTGGGAACTAACTTACTCCATGAGATCAACATTAATCTCTTCTGAGGTCAGCATCTCAAAACGGCCTAACTATCTCTAATAGGCCTCATCTCTTAAAGTTCTACCATTTCTTAGTCCTACCATCCCAGAGGACTGAGATTCTAGTACATGAAACATTGAGAGATAAACCACACTCAAACCTATAGCATTTACCATTATATACTAAATTTGCCACTCCTTTTTTTTTTGGTCCAGTCATGGGGCTTGAACTCTGGGCCTGGTCACTGTCCCTCAGCTCTTCAGCTCAAGGCTAACACTCTACAACTTGAGCCCAGCGCCACTTCCCGTTTTTTTTTTTTTTTTTTGCTTATGTGGTGCTGAGGAATTGAACCCAGGGCCTCAGGTATGCAAGGCAAAAGCTCTGCCACTGAGCCACCTTCCCAGCCCTTGCCACTCCTTTTGAAGAAGTAAAAAATAAAATATTCTTTTGTCTGTCCTGGGCCTCAAACTCTGGGCTTGGGTACAATCCCTGAGCTCTTTTTTGCTCAAGACTAGGCTTCCACTTGAGCTATAGCACCACTTCAGCCTAATCACTGGGCAGTAAGAGTCTCATGGACTTTCCTGCCTTAGCTGGCTTCAAACCACAATCCTCAGATGTCAGCCTTCTGAGCAGTTAATATTACAGGTGTGAACTACATTGTCCCCACCTCTTTCTTCTTCCCATAAAATAAGATTTTGTGTGATTTTTATCTGTGTTGGAGATCATGATGAGTTGCCAGTGATGTAGTTAACTTTTTTTTTATAGAGGGATGGTACTAGGGTTTGAACTCACAGCTTCATGCTTTCTAGGTAGGTATTCTATAGCATGAGCCACATTTCCAGCCTTTCTTAGTTTTGTAATTTATTAACAGATTATTGTGGTACTGGGGTTTGAAATGAGGTTTTGGTGATTGCTAAGCAAGTGGTCACTAACTTAGAGATGTCTTCTGTGCTTTTGTTAATTTTTTCAATAGCAAAATGTTTTGTCTAGGCTAGCCTATACTGTGATCTTTCTGTTTACAGTCCCTGCTTATCTAGGATTATAGACATGTGTCATCATGCTCAGCTTTTACTGGTTGGTATGGGGCCTTAGGCTTTGACCTAGGCTAGCCTTAAACCAAGATTCTCCTGATCTGCCTCCTACGTGTCCAACTTAGATAATCTTTTTATATATATATCATTGTATTGGAAACATAATCTATAATTAGAGTAAATTAAGATATAGTATATGAACAGTTTCTCAATTAAAAGTATCCAGTTTAAATAACTAGAAGCCGACAGGACTGATTTCAGTCATCAGAAGCAGGGCTTTTCCCTTTGTACCTACTTGTTCCAACGGTAGAGTCCCTTATCACGTATGAAATCTTTCTCTTCTAATAGAGAAACTATGTCATTCCTACAGGACTATGGTCTAAATATTCTTTATTTTCTTTATTAGACTATGTTCCACATTTTTACCTGTCCCTCATTTCATGTCATTTCTCCAGTTAAAAATGGCTGGCCATGAATATATGGCATTATAATTATCTGAGCTTCCTATGGGAAGGGAGAAATTGGAAATTAAAGCATTCAAAGTTTAAATTACATGGTGATTAAAATCATAATAGTTTCTCTGAAGAGGAAAGAAGGATGGCCAATAGACACATGAAGAAATGCTCAACCTCTCTAGCCATAAAAGAAATGCAAATCAAAACAATATTGAGATACCACCTTACCCCAGTTAGAATGGCTATAATCAAGAACTCTAATAACAACAGATGCTGGAGGGGATGTGGCCAGAACTCTACTGCATTTTTGGTGGGAGTGGAAACTTGTTCAACCACTTTGGAAAGCAGTGTGGAGGTTCCTCAAAAGGAAGCTCCACATAGAGCTCCCCTATGACCCAGCAATCCCACTTTTGACATTTACCCAAATGATCACAAACAAGACCATACTAATGCTACCAGCACAACTATGTTTATTGCAGCATTATTTACCATAGCTAAGATATGGAACCAACCCAGATGCCCCTCAGTAGATGAATGGATCAAGAAAATG